TGTTTATTACTAAGGGTAGGGCTAATCTTTTTACTCAGTGAATACATAAATTACCATGAGCATAACATTTTTTGTCACTGCAACTGTCCATGTGGGTACCTTAAGCTGAGAGTGATGATACATCCAGCGCATAGCAGCAGAAGTCAGCGAGGGTTTCTCTGACCCGTACGCTGTTTCCAAAGCCTGCAGAACCACCTCTATGGCCTGGAAATGACTTTTCTTCCAGTATCTTCCACAGAGCAGGAGCACAATCACGGTTATGGTTAACAAAAATCTCATTCAACAACATAAAACAATTTGTTGGTACATATTTCAACAGCACTAAGCTGATGTTCACCTGTCTCTGTATGCTCCAGCCCAGCTGTTACCAAAGAATCGTCCTGCAGGCTGGGAGCCATCTTTATCTTCATAGTGATACTTCCCTGTCAGAAGGCCACCTGGCAGAGGACTAATGTCAGAACTCAGTACAGTATGTACTTAATGCTGTCACTCACCCAGGGCACATTTTAGCTCACAGGTAACATTAACAAGGCAAAAAAAAACAACCAAAAACCACTAACTAAAGCAACTACTAACTATTCAGCATCAGGTTATTGTGTGCTAGCAAAAAGGGATCACCAAAGTGAATAAAATCCATCTCCAGGGGGACATGAATGCATGTATGGAACATATTTTAATATAATATATTCATTTTGGGATAACTCGAGGATAGCTTTTATCCCTCCACATTAAGTGACATCTTTTTCACAATCACAAGTGCTTTCTTTTGAATAAAACTTTTTAAAATGGAACTGCAAGGTGTACCATGAAAGACTACCTGCCAGAGGATTGTATGCATAGAATCGCATTCCATAGTATCTCAGACATGGCAGCAACTCTGTTTCCACCTGTCTTGTTGTGGCATTGTACATTCCCTGTGAAAGATTGGAAGAATCTGAATTAGAAACAGGTGAAAAACAAGTAACAGTATAGCAGACGTATAAATGTTCAGTCTACAACACCTAATGAAAGATTAAATCTTCAGTGATTTGCTGAACAAAAACCACAGAGATGAAGAAGTGTGAAAGTTTACTCTCATTCAACACAAGATGGCTAGTATGGCCCTCCTGTCTGATAGTAGTCTGATTATTATAGGATCAGGCTACTGAATTTAGATAAAAGTTAAATATCCTTAGAACAGGATATATTACCTGATAAACAGTGGGAACTATCCAGTTGTTGTGCCTGCAGATGCATACTATTTCAGCCACTTCCCAGGATACATAGTTTGAAAGGCCGAGCTCCTTGAATTTTCCCTGGGGAGTTGATACTTTCCATTTAGTATTAAAACATCTCAGGACTACAGATGGACAATAAAGTTATTTTTTTCCTGTGTGTTATGTTAAAGCAAGTTATTTAGCTATATGTTTATATATTCCCTGGTCTGCTAACCTCTTTGTGGAGGTCATTGCAGGCTCTGAGAGTATCCTCGATAGGGTTTTGGTGGTCAGGGGCATGGAGGTAGAAAAGGTCCACACAGTCTGTCCGCAACCTCTGAAGGGAGGTTTCCAGCTGGGAGCGCACGCTCTCTGGCTTCAGCGTCTTTCCATCCCAGGGATTGGCCTTGGTAGCTATGCTTACTGTGAATGAGTGAGATGTAGTCAGGTTAAAACAGCACTGCTCCTTCAGTGTCAGAGACAGACTGACACTGAAAGCTAGCCAGGCTCTTATTGCAGCACTTAAACTTTGGATTCATTATTGCTAGAATGTTTCAGTGACATCAAAGCTGTATGGCCTTCATTAAAAAAAAA